GCGGGGAGGAGACTGAAGGGTAACGATCATAAACTCCAATTTCGGTTTATCCTTTTACAATACCCTTGGTAAGCATAATGGTAGCCTGGGGAAAAGCTCTCTCTCCCGAAACTATATTTCACATTGTCCAAAAGAAATGGCTAGTTACCAAAAAGAGAGACTGTCTGTACCTATAATTGCTGGACCCTGGACACACACACGCGCAATTGTAAATGCAAACAGCTTTCCTTTTTGGTTACTAGCTATTGTTTTGGAGGAAATCGTGGTTCTTTAACATTTACATATAGGTGAATGATGGCTAAGCCGTCATCTGGAGCTCTGGTGAATGAAAATCGGAAAACTACCGCTGAAATCTTTTCCCTACTGACGGGATTACTAACATGCATTGGGACTGTAGATCTTTCACTCGTTTTATCCAGGACCATAAACCCTTGAACTGTATCCTAGCTTTGATGTCTTCGTGAAATATGTTAGGCAACTTACCCATTTCGTTAATCGTGTCCCTTGGAGCTCCCGCCTTCAGGAGGTCCCGCATGACATTCACGTGACCCACAGAAGCAGCGGTGTGCAAGTCTGGGCTCCCTGCAGGTGAACAAAGATGTTTACTCTTCCGGCTCTTATTATTTATCTGTACACCTCTTTGTGTGCTATACGTCAGCGTAAATTCAGAATAAGATTTCAGGAAACAATATATAGCGAAAATAATAAGAAGAGATATTTAAGACTACCTTTTTCTCCTTCCAAGTCGCCTGGTCTCTCAGGGTTCGCTCTATGGTCGAGGGGCTTCCTCACTGCTTCCTCATCCTTACTCCCAGCTCCCTTGGTTCGTGAAATGAAATAGAGATTATAATCATTACCAGTGGTAATTCACACACGCACACACATATGCATACATATGTGTGTGTAGTGTGGTGCAGTGGCAGCGTTCTTGTCTGGCAATCTAGCTGACCAGCGTTCAAATCACGCATCGCCAGTAGATGGGAACCCTGGCCATTCCTTGCACATTAGGGATAGTTTTAAATATATATATACAAATGTATAAACACACACACACATGTATATATATATTATGTGTTTGTAGAAGTAGTTTGTAGATTGCTTTAAATGCAATCTTTCACTCTTTATACTTTCAAATATATCGACAAGTTGCTCTGCGTCTAATGCAGCTGGTATACCAGTGTTGCTGATGTGTGCAATTTTCGTCTACTGAGCACACCAAAAAAGGTTAAAAGGTTGGGACCTAACGCTTGTATACCACAGTTCACAGCTCTGCGAACAAAATGTCCACATGCTCGAAATTTTATGATTAATGGCAAAAATAAAATGTCATTATTATGTGTGATTTTATTCCTATTTCCATTATCTATTTCAAGATTACATCTCCGTAGACATATGTTTCAGATAATAAAATTAAATGGGAATTCCCAATACACAGAAGCCCTCCACCCGTGTATGACATGCTATGTTCAGACTTCTTTCCTTTTCAAATCCTTATGCCACAGGAGTTACCCTGGTGCCGGCGTTATTGTTTCTGAGTTTTATAACATAGATTATATATAGTACTCATCCGATGTTTCAGGACTTTAAGCACTTTGTGCTTTGCCTGCATCCCCAGTGTTTTGATCATGCAGGTCGCACGAAACTACAATAGGCATAGTCAGCAGCCCAGTAGTCTGAGGCGTCCTTTGGGCACACTTGTTCTTTTGTGCTGAATTCTTTTCCTCTCTTCATGTGGCTTCCCTGAGCCTACCAGAGTTTCCTTGTGTGCTCCCATATTCGCTTGGGGGTTGGGCCTTGAATTACTGTCCTTCGCCTAGGCAAGTTCAGTGATAAGGAAGTGTCCTCCATATAACTCGATCCCCCTTTGGTACTGGAGTGTGAAAGCAACGAAATATTAGAAACGTATCACATATGTGGGAAATCAAATGAGCCAATGGGAGATGTGCTTGGCTGTGGCGTGACGATAAACACTAGCGACCAGTCCCTCCCCAATCCCTTGCATGTTGTCGTCGAAGGGGGGGCTTAGGAGAAGGGGACTGAGGCCCATTGTGGGGATCACCCCTGTTTTGGTCCTCACCCCTCACCTCAACAAATTTTGCAGGGTCTTTTCTTTTGCTCCCTTTTTTCCGTTTCTTCATCCCCTTGTTCTGTACACTTTTTGTAGTCTTAATTAACTCATTTTTGCCATCTTCGCCACAATACTTTACTCCCTCAACTCCTTCCCTTTCTAACATCGTTATACTATACTCCAGCTCCCTCTCTCTTCCCTGTTCACTACCTTACTGCCCTCTAGTGCTGTTAAACCTTTAACTTTACCCTAATTATTAACTCATTCCTAACCCTTTTCGCTACTATAGTTTCCCACAGTGTCATAAGAATTTTGATGTCATATAGTACATCCTTACCTGGGGGCTTTGCCCCCAAGCCTCATGCGATCGCTATATTTTGAATACACCTCTAGTGACCGCAGATGTTTACCCAGCAGAAAATTTTCAATACATAAACAGCGACACATATATAAGAGCCAATAAGATCTCTAACAGATAATCACGGAACAAAAGAGGCTGGATCTAAGGAAAGTATATGGTCATCACTCAGAAGTCGGTGTTAGACTTCATGTACAAATTTTCATAAACCTATGGATTCACTGTGACATGATAATCTTATTCCCGAAAAGGATGGAATATGCCTTGCATTGTGCAGACAAGCCACAGAATACAAAAATAATCTGCGACGAGAATTTTTTTTTTTTTTCTAAAAGCACCAACACGGCAAGATATGTATGTATGGCGTCAACAAAACATCAGGTAAGTAACGACACCAACCTTCCCCTCCTATTTCTCTTCGCTCGATATTTTGAAGAAATAGGTTTGCTTCAATAGAAATGAAGTCTAAAACGTTTTCATATGTGTCTGTTTGTATATATAATGCAGTGTTATCATTTAACAGATCTGAATCAGAGAATGCGATCGCGAGCAGGAGGAGTGGTCGAACCACTGCAGGGTTGGTTGGGTGGATGCACGCAAGTGGTGTCGGGGAGATGACGGATGTCAGCCCTGATTTACTTGCAGATATGTTGAAATCCTTAAGGAGGTTTTCCTCCCAACAGTTAGGGCTATGGTGTTTCCTGAAACGAATCCCTTTTATCTTATTCTGGACAACAGCCCCATCCATACCAGCCATGTTGTCCAAGATGAACATCCCGACATCGCGCTTATCTCCGGATCTCAACCCAATTAAAAACGTGTGGGCAGCCATGTCAAAATACATGCATCAAGACCACACTTGTGATCGTGTCGCAGTCTTGAATAGTGCCTTGGAAGCATAGGAACGTCCATGGGGTGAGGGGGGGCGTGCGTTGACAGCTGTTAGTGGCGTCTATGTGTCGACGCTTGAACTGTTTTGGCAGCAGGGTGGGAACAAAATATTAAACCTGAATATATTACCTGCATCTTATTTTCCTAATGAAATATGTCAATAGTTATTAGGTGATATAATAACAATAAACCGTCTGAGTAGCACCTGTCTGGCAATACCTAACACCTGCCTTCTCTCGTATCATGACGATTGACCCAACGTTGAAAACATGTATAAGAAAGCTAACTGATTAGTGACAATTATACCATATCATAAATTACCTGCGGATTTATAGCCTCTTAATTTGTGATTTACCAAAAGTAGTCAGAAAATCAGGGGTACCAACAGTTTACTATATTTACTATATTTCAAAAAGTTTCGTTGCATGTGTTAGAATGTTTTGGATAATTTTCAAACGATAGTTTTCTGTGTAGCTGTACCTGTGCACGTGCTTCTTGGCGTTTGAGGAACTCCACCACCTTCTTGTGTCCCTCGTCCTTCGCGTACTGGAGAGGCGTCTGGCCTGAATGATCCTTTAAAGAAGGGTCAAGCCCTTGCACGTGCAACCATTGGACAGCGCCTAAGTTTCCGTACTCGGCCGCCAGGTGGAGCGCCGACTTCCCTTCGCGAGTGACTGAAAGGAATTCACACGTGGGCGTCAGCACCTCCATCGAGGACACGTGGCCGCCCATACTCGCCAGGTGGACCGCCGTCATGCCTGCGGAAGGGAAAGGGTAGTTCGTGGTCGGAGTGTCTCGTCTATGGCATATTCCATGCTCTAGAATGTCCATTATCATTTAAAGACAGAAATATGTCTGATTTGCGAGGCAGAGCCTCGCCCGGGCTATGCCCATCAGGGGAGCCCGGTTCCACAGAGATATGGGCAGTTCCATCCCAAGGCAGACACTGTGAGCTCCTCCTGACTGTCTTCACCTTCGCTGGTCCTTGCATTCCCATCCGCGCCTCCGCCAAGCAGGACCTTGATGACCTCTGCGTGCCCCCCCCAGGACGCCAGGTGCAGCGGCGTCATGCCTGAAGCAGGGGGAGAGACTGATGGGACTGCTCACTAAAAGAATATTATCCTCAACAGTAAAAGGGTTATGTGTAGATATGTTATGCATAGATTATTAGCAAACACACACACACACAGCAAACACACACACACACATATGTATGATATTTACACACACACAAGTATTACATATATATATGTAGACTCGCTACAAAAAAATCTTTATTCTTGCTGACTTAACATATAATATAACAGGACGACGAAAAGTTCTAATAACTTAATATTAGTATCCCTGCCAGGGCGTCATTTATGTGGGCAGTTGCCCCCCCCCCTCCAAGACTCTGCCCCCTCTAGGTCTGGCGTGCCTCCACAAGGAACATATAGATATATGTCCTGTTATAGCTTAAAATTGCCCCTAGAATAACTAATTTTCAAATTGTGCACGTCGCTCGGCCACATTCAAAAGATTTACCACCACCATCTTGTCGAACGCCGGCAAGTCTACATGGTATGTATGCCGCCAACAGGCGTCCGTCTGCAGAGCGCAATCAATCCCATGCCCTAATTGTTTAGACAACGACTGTCAAAGTATTACGTTTTACGAAAGTTCATGTATGGTAAATATGAATAT